CAAGGAACAAGTCGCCCCACCTCTTTGCCGAAGCAGATTTAACAAGACGCAAGAGAGGCCAAAAGGGGTTTTAAAAACGTGGACCTACAGTTGTGGGTTTAAGATGTTCTTGTGACCATTGCAGAACAGCAGGAAGCAGTTCTCTGTAAAGAGTAAGGCCAGCTTCATAGCAGCAGATCCGCCTGCGAGGACACTATAAAGGAAACTAGTGTGAAGTGCATTTAAAACTGTGATGAAGAGGCACGTTTTTACTCAAAGGGTTGTGGGTGAATGGAACGTGAACCCAAGCCATGTTGTTGAACCTGATGCACTGGCTTCCTCCAGGAAACACTTGAGGTTGTTGCATTCTTGAGGTCAATTAGCTACTAACCACCCAATAGGCTAGATGGGCTGAATGGTCTCTGCTTATTTGTAACTTTCCTTACACATTCTTTTTCCTAATCCTTTACCTAATCAGGGCTGGCCTGTTGAGAGCACAATGACGAATCGCTCATGCCCCCTGCCCTCTGCTCCACACTGCCCCCCCCCCCCAGGGCGGGGTTGCGATCAGGCCCCCCGTCAAGGAGGAAGAGCGCAGGTGCCCCCAAGCGGCAGCAAGCCCAGACCAGCAGGGAGCGAGGGGGGCAGTAGTCACGCTGCAGGAGCAACAGAGCAAAAACGCCAAGTCACTGCCCCGCCCTGGAAACACCCCTCGGCCGGGCGGAGAGCTCCAGCCGCGAGCCAGAAAGGGGAAGCTGCGTTTCGAAACCCGGCTGCTGCGAGCGATGGGGCGGGGGAAGTGGGAGGGTGGCGGCGCAGAGAAACAGATGGGAGAAGGAGGGCTGCAGCTCCAGATAAATCCTGCGCACAGCCGCCTGCACGAGGGGCGCTGGTCGCAGGCAACTTGAGGGGAACTCTGACTTAGCAGGGCTCGACTCTCCTGACCCAGGGCAACAGGCACCCACACTCGCTGGCCGTAGACGCCCTGCAGGTCTGAACGCCACTTCAGGGTGCTGGAGTCACGCTGATCATGGTTACTATTTATGATGGGTGGTCGGTGAGTAATCAGAAATAATATAGAAATGAAATAAAAATTAATAAAACTGTTCCCTGAGAAAAGCAATCTCGCGTCACCCGGTTTGTTATCAGACCACACAGGACATTCTCAGGTCAGCCCGCATCCAGAGGCGATACAGCGCTGCCCTCTGGTGGTGACATCCCTTAACTGCAACTTTGCCGGGGAAAATTGCTCAGCAGAAGCCAGCTTTTATTAAATCAAATCTGGAGACGTTACGGAGACCTCTGGTTAACCCTCTACTCAGCAGTTTTCTGGCTTGCATTCCACCTCACGCTTAATGATGTCACCGGACCCATTATGGTTGAAGTGAATTGTGATCAAGTTCTCCAGTCCGAGAGCAGGGGGGCCGTGACTCCCCGCCCGCCAGAGCAGGAGCGCAGACGAGTGTGCAGCTGCTGCGCAGATCCCGCAGGCCGAGCAGCCTTCCCATCATCCCTTTCCTTCAGCGACTCATGCCGGTCAGCCCTGATGAAAGCAGAGCATCTACAGAGCAAGCAGTGACGCCTAACGTCACGTTTCAGAGGCACAGAAAACACCAGCAGAGCTAGCAGGCGTCTCATCTCAGTAGTTTATTTCAGTTTTGTGTTTTGTATATCAAAGTAATGTATAAATTATTTAAAAACCAGTGGGTTTATTTTCTTTAAAATAAAAGAGAAGTGTGAATAACAAAGCCCATGACACTCTCGACAGACAGAATATTGAGTGTAAAACGAGTTTTTCTGTAATGAACACTTTAACATCCAAGAATACAACAGGCGATTCTCCCAGTCAAGGCAGGACTGGTCCAGTTCAGCACAGCAGTCTCCCAGTCCATCCCCAGTAAGGGGTTTGGGTCGGATGGGTTCTGTCGAGCTCGAGAAGGGGTGCTCCAGCCAATTTTGCCTTAAGCC